TATTCCAACACTTTATTGCTATGAGATTAATCAATTTACTAAACCAGTTCCATGTTATCAACAAAACAGCGAATGTGGATTAGCAGATATTGTGAATTATTTCGTTTTTCAATCTGTTGGTCCACCTATATTCATGCTCATATTTACCATTGGCACTATAATGCACATTCGGCAAGGTCATCAAATTTGACCAGATATTCCACTTTCAGTAGTAACAAATCCTTCGACAATAATGCATAACAAAACAAGAATCAATCGAAAAACTAATCGGGCAAACACACGATTACTCTATGCTCAAGTTATTGTATATCTTCTTTGCTCGATACCACTTTTTACTATGAAATTATATGCACTTATTCCACTCTCAATCGTCAAAAGTGATGTTCGAATATCTGTCGAAGCACTTCTTCTAAATGTTGCTCTTTGGTTTAGTTTGATTGACAAAATCTTTTCATTTTATATTTATACATTATCAAGTAGACATTTTCGGCAAGAACTTATGAAACTTTTCAGAAAAAACATCCAACAACGACAGAATTAATCATCGCTTCTTTTGAAAACTTTGAATTCTAGCTTCTTTAGTTTCGCAAATAAATCTTATTCTAAAATGAGATGAATCTCGATAGACGTACAGTATTTGCTTGTAATTCACACATTTCTTACCATCGAATTAAATTACTTTCAAATTCTTTAAAGTATTTATTGCACAAATTGATTATTAAATGATAATATTCTTTGATAGTTCTTCAGAAAGATGAATAGTTCCTATCTATAGATCTATCAATTAAGGTAATCGATTTCTTTTTGGTCCTTTGTCAATTTTCTCAAAACAATGAAATTGTGTCCATTTTCTTGTTACTTGACACGTGACATTGACATTATGGTCAAATCAAAGTTGAATTAATCCATCAGTACGAATACCACTATTAGGACTGATCGAAAGTGATTTAGATACTATTTTGATTTTGGTCAATCCTGATTGTAATTCTAACACAGAACTAACGGGATTTACTTTTCAAAATAAAAATAGATTTATCCTAAAATTATTTTTCATCTGAATGACAAATCTGTGTAAATAGAAAGTAACACTCCAAGCATCATTCTCACATTTCAACCAATATTCACAATAGGTATGTGCTCACATCTTCATAACCATGAATTTCATCGAAAATAAACTTGTCCTTTGGTATTTATTAGTATCCTAATCGATCAATGTTCCATTAGACATTGAAAGTACATCAACGCAATATGACGATGATGATGATACATTCACTGCTGTGCTTATACTAACGAAGAAAATAAACTGACAAGAATTAGAAGTTCGTTTCGATTTTCACATTTACTGTCACACATGGGTTGTGAAAACTAACTTGTATTTTTCGAAGATTATACGTGACTTGTCTTGTTAAGTAAACGACAGTAAACATTGATAAATAATTAAATAATCCTAATGCGACTTGATTCTCCGTCGAAAATGTTAATCGATTCAAGTTGCTGACATATTCACTCGTAATATTAGTCATACTTGTCGAGAAAGAACAAACTGATCCACATCGTGATGCTTGTGTCCATAAAACATCCAAATATGTTACTCTCAGACTACCGCTAATGTTTACGTAGCCACTTTTATAACTGGATTTAACGTAGGATTCGTTGCGAACAAGAGTTGACTTCTCAGAAATTTGTAATAATTGTGTTTGACCAGCTAGTTCTAATCGAGATGTACTGAAAGGTAATACTGGCAAACTTACCATCGAATAGTTATCCGTTTCATAATAAAACAAAGAATATAAACGCTAAAGTACGGCTAACAGTTCCATTCTGAATAGAACAAGTAGTCGAATCAACAAGACATGAGCCATCAATGTTGTTTTTCTTCGTTGTTGTATTAGAATCATCATCATTATTGAGAGAGTCGTTGAGAAATGGAGTCCATGCACTATTGACACACGGTTATATTGAGTGAACCTACCTCCAATATTCACATATCCTGTTCAACATGTCATTTCCACATAAGATCCCGATAATATACAATTATCATCTAATTGATCTCTTTATAAATTATAATTTCCATTCATTGTCATTGTCGATAGACAATGAATATTATGGGAGAACATACATTAACAGATTGGTAATGAACCTACGATCCATTGTTATAACAAATCACACGAAAACGAACAGTTGAATTAAATCGAAATCCTGGAGCACAAACATATTCCAAATACGCACACAGTAGTTGATGTCTCTACTCTCAGACATCATGTAATGCAAAAGAAACACATAAGCAAAGTATCGACGGAGAAAATATTTTTCATCCAATAAATTTATTTTCATTCATTTTCTAGATGGATATCGTTGTTTCTACTTCTGACAGTCCGGAAGCGTCACCTGATGATATCTTAATCGACTGTGACGATTCCTCCGCAACAGCTGATGATTCACCATTACTTTCAGATGATCACTGAGCAGAACTCAATTTTGCACATCATCCACCTTCTTTTGATGAAAACAATCCCGTTGGTAGAAGATGTCCAATTTCAGTCAAAAAACGACTTCTAATCGGTTGTCTTCTTGGATCATCAATAACACTTTTAGCAGTGATTTCAACTGGATTCATTCTATCAAAAAAATTATCGAAAAATTTCGATACGACGATAACAACAACAGAAACTACTTTACCAAATCAATCCTCAACAAGTGAGTCAAGGGTTTCGTCTAAAACTCCAATAATTGTACTATTTTAGCAACAATCGAAACTGTAACATTTTCATCGAAATTCTGTTCAATTCCAACTGTAAATGGTAAATGGAATGAATCAGGTTTTCTATTAATAAATCCCGGAAGTGAATGTTCTTCAAATGAATATGGTTTATGTAATCCTGGAGATTTCTTTTTTGATGATATTCACAATACTCTTTATGTTGCTGATACAAAAAATGATCGAATACAAAAATATTCTCTAAATGGATCATTTAATCCGAATCCAGGTCTTCTTGGAGTTACTGTAGCCAGTAGAAATCTTTCTTCTCCACAATCTCTCTTTGTTGATGTTCAAACAGAAGATATTTATATTTTGGATTTTCTTAAAAATGATACAACTGATAATAAAGCAGACATTGTTTCGTATCGTGTTCATTTATGGAAGAAAAACGATCAAATTGGAAAGATTTTACTGAGCGAACAAGGTGAATATTTATATTCACAATTTATTCATCGTTTAAGATTGGATAAACAAATGAATATTTATGTTGGAACGAGATATTTCATTAAGAAATGGTTGAAATCAACTGATTATACCCAAAATGTCATTGTAGCGGGGGAAAGCCAATTGAATTTAACCGCACAAAGTAATCTTTGGGATCCAGTGGGATTTGTTGTTGCTGATGATTTAACATTATTTATCGCTGATTGGCANTCAGAAACGAGTCATTGTTACAGATCAAGGTGAATTCAGAAGTAGTTGCTATTTTGGTCAAAGAGCAATTCGAACTGACCGATTTGGAAATATTTTCCTCTTAGGGGATAATCAACTATGTCAATTTTCTTTGCAAATAACTACATAAAAACTTTATTTTTGATCTTATTTGAAGTGCACTTCTTCATTTCACTATTTATATATGTTAAAAAATCTTTGAAAGAAAAAGTATTAAAGATCTGAACGTGTGTTTTGATGTTGTTGAATAAATAATTTAACAAAATGAGTAACAAGTTCGGGTTGTTCCTGAGGAAATGAATGATTGGAATCGTTTAATAATGTATCGTAACCATATTGAAACCATTGAGAAAGACCTGCTCGAATAACATGAACTTTGATTTGGTGAATAAATTTCGAATTTTGAACAATTTGACGAATATCTGATTCTCGATGAACACTTATTTGATACAAATGCCGAGCTCTTTCAGGTGTACAATGAAGTTTGCTGTTTTCATCAATTGCATAGGAACAACAATCACGAAGAACATCTTTTGGCCATGAAAAAAGTCGAGAAGGTTTCTCCATATATGAAACCATTTCTTCTACTGAAGACCATTGGCCTCGTCGTGGTGCTAAATGTTCCGAAGTCTTCGAATGTTGATCACTTTGTTCATAGTAAAATGAAGAAAAGATTCCGGGATCTAGTAAAAGTAAAGAGCGAAAGATTGATTTCGATACCAACCAAAGAATTCTTCTTCGATTAATCGAGAATTTCGATAAAATTTAATGTCCGCGAAAGTCAATCAAAATCACGTGATATCCTGATAAAGCTTCGTTTATTAGTCGATCATAACATCGACTCACTAATGAACGTTTTGGTAAAGTTAAAAAATGACTTATAGGATTTGAAGAAATCATCCGATGACAACGAAGAACTATCGAAGATAACAGTTCATATCTCATCCTTTGATTGGTGAAAGTTTCTTGTATTATAGAACAAATGAAAAGTCGGAGGGCGCGCTGTGATACATTGTTATTCGATATTTTCGTTTTAAAATCCATCGGGTTTTCCACCTTTCCGTCGATCACAATTTGCCCAAAATTCATTCAATTCTTCTTTCCATTCAATTCCTTGAACGGCTGAACCAATTGAATCAGCAGAGACGATCTGATGACCACGTTTTTTCAATTCATTGATTATTTTCTACAAAAATAAAAAACAAAATTCTCTCCGAAAAATGAGAGATATCGTTTTACTTCGTCAAATCCTTGTTCGACAATAATTTCATTTGGTAATAATTGTGAATGAATTCGTGAAGAATCAATTGTTGTTTTAATATTTTGTTTAAACAACCAATTAATTAAAGAAACTTGTGCAACACTTGTCGTTATTCTTGGTCCTCCACTTCCACCTAAGATTTGAATCCAATGTTCTTTTATTTTATCCCAAAGAATGACTGGTGACATTGATGACACAGGTCGTTTTCCAGGAGATATATAATTCGCTGGACTTGATGGAATTCCAAATTGATTTGATGTATTTCTCGTTGAAAAACTATCCATTTGATTATTATAGAAAATTCCAGTGTGTTTACCGAGAACTTTCGAACCAAAACTATCGGATAAAAGAAAAGATATTTGANCATTCAAAGATTGGGGGGGGGGCGCGTATTCTAAAACATCATACGTAAAGTACATAGCTTAATTTTCCTGAGGAAATCTATTATATAAATTTCTGTTCGAGCATTTTTTTTCAAAAAAACCCATAAAGGCTAGTTCGGTTCGTAATTCATTCGAGTTAATATTAGAAAAACTACAAATTTCACACAAGTTTTACTCTTGTGTTCTTTAAATGGGACCATTCTTCAGCAAAACCTAACAAATCTCTTTCTTCTGAAGAAATTATCAACCATGCCAGGGTGGGTGAGGGTGTTTTTAACCAATTTTAATTTCGAAAAACAGCGTTCATTTGTCGCAACAGTTCTTGGTAATGCAAGAAGAAATTGATAAATACGTGTAGTATTTGGATATTCGTGTCGAATTATTTTAATTTTATCAATAAGTTCGGTCATATCAGTATAATTATCGAAGTCATTTTTTAACAGCTGGAATTCTGAGTATAAGAGTTCAGGACTTGAACTACCAGGTAGAATATCACAAATTTTCTTAGCATTTGCAAGAGTTAGTTGATTTACACGGCCAGGAAAGATATTAGAAAAATGCTCAAGTTTTTCTTCAATTAACTTGTGGTATTCAGAAAATGCAACAATTAAATAATCCAGAATTTCACGCATTAATTTCACATAATATTCAACACTAAAACAAACGAACTATAGACATAAGAGAACAAGAACTTCATGAATTCTTATACCGCTTCAAGCGAATACCAGTTTTAGAAGTCGAATCGATCCTCACAGATCGTTGTCGTTGATGATGATGTCGAGCGAATTCATTTTCAATATCAACACCATTACATAATGCTTGATCATCACATTCCTTAAATGTAAAAATACTAGAGAATGATACTGCTGTAATGAATATTCCCGAACATCATTCAAAAGTACTATAGTGCTCAACTTTAGCTAATAAGGTTAATAACCAGTCCGTTTAGAAAATTGAGCATGACTGTTTTTACAAATTTAAATCTAATTTCTCTAAAACTTGCATGTCGAAATATCAATTTGTTTTCGAAATGTTTTATTTGTAGTTATCGATCTACCTTAATGAGATTTTGTAAAAATAAGTCATAATTTCTCCATTCCATCAACACTTTGTTTGTATTGAGAAGAGGATGAGATGCTGTAACAAGATCCGAGATTTCTTTTGCAGATGCTAAGTGAGAGTTTGAGTTTGTCTTGTTACTTGATTTAGAAAATTTAGTAACAAATTGAATTCAAATGATAAAATAGCTTCTCGTAAATTAATGCTCTGAAACGAAAACCTTCGTCAAAGACTTAATCAGAAGGCAGAATATTTACTTGTCCTTTTGCTTTTCGATCGTCTGGTGTAACTGTTTCATTTCTATCAACTTTCTCATCAATATGACTAATTATTAAATCAAATGTATTGATAATTTCCAGTAAAGAACGACATATAGCATTAATCGATTCATAGTTAGGGGACCATCGGGTGACTGATAAGCCTTTTACCGTTACAGCTGATGTTGATGAATTAATTTGAGCTCGAAATATATGATAACGATTGATACTGCTACTGAGGAAAATGTATATTTCTTCGAGTAAATTGAAGAAACGAATGTATTCTGTTGAACACTCACAACCATGTTTTACGCCGAGACTTGCTGAATGACCACCACATGGTACATGAATGATATCACGTTTAAGTGCAACTTTCATACAATTTTGAACTCCACGTCTACAACCTGCCATATTAGGCGCATTATCATAACACTGACCGACTAAGGAGTCAGTTGAAATGTAATAATCATGAAGTATAGAGAGAATAAAGTCACATATAGCTTGACCATTTTTGGTGGGCAACTCTTTCAAAGCAACCACACGTTCATGTATATTCAAATCATGATCAACATATCGAATAACCAATGAATAAATTTCTCGATGACTGCAATCAGGAATAGAATCTATCATGACCGAATAAAAGGGCGCATTTTGCACTTGTTGAACAATCAAATGAATGAGGTAAGTGCCAATCTGTTCGATAAATTCATCTTGACTACGAGCACTCGTGTAGGTTACCTGAAAAACAATTTAGCAGAAGAAAAACAGTTTTACGGACAATTAGTGAATCTAACAGAGCAAACATCTGTAGATTTAAGTATTTCTTCGAGTTGATACAGTGAGTTTTTATTTATCTACATGTAAGGATTGAGTTGAGTATATATTATACTTACATGATGACTTTTGAATTTTTGGTCATCAAACCATGAATTTAGTAAAGGATTATGACGACGTAATAAATTTATAAGTTGAATGAAATTATCTGTGAGAAAAGAATTTAATAAAACAAAATTATATAGATAATTGAAGATTGATTATTTTAATAAACGTTTAATGTTCTTTTGAAACTCTTTCATATATGTTTCTGATGGTAAGACAAATACAATGAAAATTAATGTCGACGGAATAAACGATGAACAATAGCTAATTAAATAATACCAAGGATCACGAGATGATTTCATACAGCCGAAGAGGAGCGAAATCACTAAGTACGGCAGTGTTAATATAATGAGAATACATGGAGAAATAAGTAAATGTTTATGGCGTTGGAATTGTTCGCGTAAATGTTGTATAAGATTGTGTTTTAGCGACATTTGAACGATAACGAGTGACAATCATAATGATGATCAATGCTGAAATCATATTGATCAAAAATGGTACTAAGAAATGAAACATATCAACATAACGATCAATTAGTTTTAATGTTGATGAATAATCGGTTATACACCATGAACGTTTTTCTTCATCATCATCGGTCAAACGACGGTGAATAGGATCATAAATATACGTACAACTCGTGATAAGAATACAAATTGGAATTATCCATTTTGCAATTTGTTTACTTTTAGTTTTATTGAATTTAATTCCTTTCAAAGCATTTATGGTTCGTTCAATTGAAACACAAGAATTAAACCATCCATTTGTACTAAGAAGAATTCGAAGACTAAAATCGAGACAAACACATTGTATATGTGTCAAAGATTTATTCTCAATCAAATTCATATGCGATATAACAAGAAACCAAAATTTAATAATCAATACTATAATTGTAATTAATGAGATGATTGATGATGTGATTAAATAAAGACCACAACCAACACTACGCGTATTTTTTGTTGAAAATGTTAACAATGTGAGAATACCATTTATTACACCAATAAAAAATATTAACATGATTAATATTATCATAATTTTAAGGGTTATAGATTGATTTTTCATGTCAAGATCTTGATGAATATGATATCCTAAAATTGTATCCAAAGACAGAACTGATCCTTTTGTTGTAAACTGACATCTCGATCCATAGAAACATTCCGGACATATACACATGGACGTTGTTGGGCATTTAATATTATCTCGAAAACATTGACCATTATTTTCACAAAAATTATTTCCTTGACAATCGTAAGTTGTATTGTGATTGAATTCAAAACAATCTGTTCTTCGATTCAGATCACATAAACAAATTTGTGTATCATCATGAAAACAAATTAAATCCAATTGTTGTTGACAGGGAATATGATAGTATTTAATACGTTTTATTAGATGTTCTTTAGAAAATGTTTCGTTGAAAAGTTCAGTAAGTGATCGACATCGATGAGATGGTAGAATTTTTGCTGAAAGATGTAATGAAACAATTGTCTGTTGACGAAGAATAATGAGATAATATGTGCGAAAGATTTCGATAAAAGCAATATTAAATTCTGTCGATGTAAAAATTGAAAGAGCACTTTGATCAGGTCGAATGTTTTTCATGGTACTGATACGAATTGGTTCGGCTTCTTTTTGAACAACAATGAAATGTAAAAGTAAAGCTAATGGAATAGTCACTTGTCTATCAAAAGATATGTCAATACGAGTTTGACGATGTTCACAACGATTTCCTGAATATTCTTGAGAACAAATACAATGTGGTTTATCTGAATAATCCACTGTATGACGTTCATCAGCGGTCATACATTGACCATCATTAAGACACAATGTTGATGAACATTCTGGCCGACTTAAATAACATCGAGGACCATAGTAACCGAGTGGACATACACAAATTGAGTTATCAATCCATAAAGAATTGTTTGCGCAATGACCTGTAGATCGTATATTACATTGTTTGCCTGACCATCCCGTATCACATTGACAAAATGTAGAATTTCGATCATTTACATAGTTATAGCATGTACCATGAACACAAGTATATGGACAATTTACAGGGGATTTAGTGTTAGAGGCAGGGAATTTGAGTAAAATAGACAGACGATACACCGGTAGAAAAGAAAAAGCTAATGGAAAAATCCAACTTGTTCTATAAACCATTGTCAATTGATTGAACGCATCGATTCGTACAGAAAAGAATTCTGATGAATTCTTATTTCGCGTAGAATAAAGTAAATAGATATTGAATCTGGTATTGCAATCTCGAATAGGTAAATATTCAATAGAATCATACGACTCAATTTGACTATTGTTATTAAGTAATTTGATTATCAATTTAAACATATTTCGAAAATCTGTTACGACTTGTGCTTCTAATGAAATACTAACACGTTGATTTTGAAATTGACAGTAAGCTCCGTAATAACTTGGTGGACAAAGACAACGTATTTTGCATGTTGTATTTGTTATCTGAATACATATAGGAATTCCTCGATGACATTCTACTCCTTTGGTATTTCGAGTTGTAACAGTTGAATGGATTTCAACTGTTTGTAATTTATTTTCAGTGGATAACGTTGTCGTAGTATAATTATCTAATATGGATAAATATGTTGGCATGTCATGAATTGTAAAATAGACTAAATGTTTCTTCGGAATCTCAGCATTTTTACAAAGAAATGTTTCAACATCAGTTAGAAAATGCGGGGATTCCAAACATAATTCATCATATGTTGATCCATATTTTGAGCAAAACGATTCATCATCTCCTTCAGGACATTGTGTTTCATGATCACAGAGTGATAATTGGTCAACACATATTGTACTATTTACACAATGAAATCGATATCGAAAATGATCTGGATGTTGTGTGCGACAAAGGAATGGTTCATCTGTTCCACCCAGACAATCGATAATATAATTATCTGCTTGTGATATTGGTAAACATGAAATAACATTTGTATTATTTGGAAAAACACAGTGATGATGCCAATTAGGACAGATAGACGATGGACAATTGACTTCATCAGCTCCGTTTCTACATGACCAAAATTCATCACATCGAGTATAACTATTATCGCATAACCAGTATTCACAATTGGTTTCATCTGTTTCGTAACGATCATCAATAAATAGAGGTTTCATTTCTGTAAAACCATCACATACTGTTTGGAAATAGAGATGTGTTTTGTATCGAAAGTCACCGTGATCCTCGTCCTCTCCATTGTCACAATCTTGAAAATCATCATTTATCGTAATTGATGCAAAACACGTTATTTTTCGATTCATTAAACATTGAACACGAAAATGAAAATCATCAAGCGCGCAACTTTCTTCAAACGTTTCATCATCATTAAAAGGACAATCTTGAATGCCATCGACAAGACGATATTTCGAAATACATTTGTCCGAATAATTACAAAGATACATTGTCGTATAATTACAATAATCGATTTTATTGGCTATAAGTGAACATGATTGAAATATAGTTTTTATATCTTCTATTAACAAAGTTAAATTATCATATGATGTTGTCACATTAAGTCCCAATTCATAAAAAGATCGACAAGTTAAACCATCCAAATGTTCTGTAATTGGAAGAACATTCTGACAAAGTTTCTCATCGTAACAAACATAATCTGGTGAACGAATTGTATTTGGTTTAATGTTTTTTCTCTCATTCGTAAATATAAATCGTACATGTCCAAGTAAGATGGTACTCGATGGAAATTGAAATATTGGTGAACATGCAGTTATAAAACAATTGCTGATACCGGCACACAAAAGTTGACATTTTTCATAATCCACTTGGTCGTAAAGTTTCATCAAACAAAGCATACTCATCAAACAAATACCATCGATCGCCGTATTCGTAGGATCATTCGAACACGCCAGAAGATCTTCATCAGAACATTCACCATCGCGGCATCGAACTTTTTCTGATCCTGGATGACAAGTATATTCTTCACATCGAAAGGAAGGATCTTGATGACAACTTCTATAACCTGATATCCTTGGAGGTTCATCGGTTTGATCCAGACAATCAGGATTTTCTGGATCATTCTGAAAGAATTCACTTGGAATACATTGACCATTGTAACAACGATACTCATTTTTAGAGCATTCATTTATTTCCAATAACCAACAATTGTATTCATCAATACTATCTATACAATCTATTTTTCCATCGCAAATCATACGCCAATCAAAACAATGTGTTGATGAAGTTATTAATTCACAATGAATATGTTGATAACAAGTGATATCTTCATCTAATGTTGTCTCTAATTTGGATTTAAAATTTAATTCGACTATTTCTCGAAATGTTTTATCAGTATTTGAAAGAAATGAAAATCGACATTGAGGTCCAAACCATGATGATCTACAAGTATGAAACACTTGTTCATCTTCAGACAACATGGATAAAGTTTTTTCATCGTTTAGAAACATTTGATAATTCTCGGCCATATATATTGATGCTGAAAAAGCAAGTAACAATTCACTTGAAACATTGAGTTGACGTAATCGAGTAAAATTAGTTTTCTGATATATTTGATTATTCGGCAAATCATATTGTTCTTTTTCAAATGGTCGAAGACAATAAGCAATTATTTGATGAGAAATATAGTCAGGCGATATTGATTCAGATAAACGTTCTGTTACATAATACAGAAGACAAAATCCATCTAATTGTTGATGATCAATATCATACATATTCAATCGATGAGTTGGTATAGATTGGACTTGCCATATTGTTACTAAAAGTAGCAATAGCATGATTTCAAATGAAATGTGTGGCATAAAAGTTAGGAGTCTTTCAAGTATGACAACATATAGAAGTATTCAGTGAATTTATGTATGTCAATCATGACATTATCAGATCTTAATTCAATATTTATATGTGTCTTTTATTAGGCAATTTCAACTGTCAATCATATTAATCAAAACGAGAAGGCTAAATTAAAAAAGAGCCTTCGTAATTTATGTATAGTTTACAGTATGATTACTGATTTTTCTGTGGATATGATTTTCGGGATTGATATACTAAGTTTAATGATCCAGAAGGAAATGGGTAACTGTTGTATCTATAAAGAAATAAAATTGCTTTATTTTTCACAATAATTAATACAGAAAATGTTTTTATGAAATTAGGACAACATAAAGTGAAGATGATGATTCAATCTGTCTAGAACTTTCATGTATTCTCACATAGAGTTTTTTTCAGTGTATGGTGATTCTCTTATTAGGATTATTCTGTACAATAGCGACGTTTCTCTACATAATTCTTGTCCATTCTAGAGGTCACTGCAAATTCTCATTGGTAATTTCTTTCTTCCAGTGTCAATGAGGATTGACATATAGGAAAATTCCTCTCTATCTGGTCAAGGTCTTCCATTAACTAAAAGTACACTCGAATTCGTGAAAATATGTTCTGGTCATCATTCAAAGAATTTCTAACACAAGAATCAAAGAAACCTCGTCAAGGTGTATTAGTTGAATTATTTATTTTTCCATTTGACTTTTTTTCTCTAATGTTGTTTATATTATTTATTGATCAATTTCGTCGACTTCGAACATACGTGACACGTCATTGTCGAGTAAAACAGTCAAGATGTTGAAGGTCCTCTTAATAGAGATGAAAAATATTGATGAAGAAGATGGAGTATTAACATAAACTGAACAAAGTATTCGGTCAATCATTCGATATGTATTAAATCAATCAATAAAACTGAATTTCATTGAGTTCTTTACTCTCTCATCTACAAATAATCTTTGTATGAATTTTCGATAAACTCATAATCAAGTTTAGAATTTATTGTAAACAAATAACACTTGAAAAATTTATCAAATCTATTGTACTCTCGGCTCAATTTTGATCATTTTATACGAACATTGATCACACGATTTTTTATGACATTTTTTACATTCACATAAATCCGCATATTCTTTCTTACAAATAACACATTGATTCACAGGACCACAATGATGTGAACATTTATGTAAAAGTCTTTCAAAACCATAACAATGTCCATTCGGATGATTTCCTCGACAACTATTCAGACAATCATCATCTGGACAAACGTAATGTTTTTCCTTCAGTTTGTCTTCCATTTCTTCTTCTAATTGAGATCCTAAAGGATGAAATTAGATGAAAAATTTCATTTCGACAGAGATTTTACTTGTTTTTCCATTTAAATGAAAAATCATAGAACCAACTTTATCTGAATCGACTTGTTTTCCACGAGTTAATTTAATTCCCGGCCAAACGAAAGTCTCTTTTTGATTCGATGGTCCATAACCAGTCACATCTTTTCCTTGAGCATATTTAAAACCAACAAAGAGCATTTTCGAATTCGATTGTTGTTGAAGATTTTTTTTAACTTCTTGAAACGACGGCGAAGTTAAACCCATTTTGGTAAATAACTCTGGTTTCGAATTGGATTGAAGTAATTTTTCTAAATCTTTATCATGATAATTTCCTTGCCAGACTTCATATCTAGCTTTGGGTAATTTGTCCAAACCACATTTTAATAATTTCAAATATTTAAACCAAGGAATCATTTCCGCTCGATTATTTTTGTTCCAAGATTGTTCAAGTGAATTATAAACTGTATCACCTTTCTCTTGAGATAAATAAAGATAGAGTGCAGCTGATTCATCTTGAGTTAAATGATGTTCATTTGGATAATAACATTTCGATTTCGCATCACGAATTTGTTCATTTAATCGAGAAATTTTTCCATCAAATGGTTTTAAAGCTTCTTCAAGTGAACATAACGATTCCTTTTCATAACCTTCAATCAATAACGATGGATCTGTTGTGCTTATGCCGATTTTGTTATATCGTCCATTTGTTTCGACTTTTTCTGGTTCAGCTGCTTTTGGAACGATATATTTTTGCTCGGAATGACTTGGTGCAACTTCAGCTTTCGAACAACAACAACCCATTAGAAGAAAATACGTCCAAAACTTGTGGTAATCGAGTCACTGTTTATATGTTTTAGTGATTTCAAAATAAATTATGATCACAGACGTGTCACAATAATAGAAACGACAGAATTCGAAAACATGTTGCTTGATTACCGTTGCTCAGGCTTTTTTTTCGTTTCTTCGACATTTTCTATCTTTCTCTTTCCTACTTATTCCAACATACTGTTAATCGATGAGATCAACGACTTTTGAATATTTGAAATATTTTCAATTCTGATGGATTTTTTCTCTTTTCAGTAACATAGTGGGCAGTTTCAAGAGAATATTTTTTAATCTATGCGGCCGAGAAAGAAAAAAAACAACAACATTGAAACTATGTAAAGGAAAGAGAAAACATATTAAACATGAGAATAAGTAGTAAAAAGAAATTAATAAAAAATACCATAGAAATGCTACCCACATCGACTCAATAACAAACTGTCGAATATTCACACTATGACAATTTTAAGAAGTGTTTTGACAAACACAGTTCTCAGCATCGCATCATGATCAAAATCAGCAAACAAACAGAGGTACTTTCAAATACGTCCTTGTGTCAATTTTGATGAATTTTTTAATTGTTCGATTGGATTTTTTGTTCTTCTTATTTAATGTTAAAAGAAGAAAAAATGAATATGTAAACAGATCAATATGTTTTGTTTTTAACTTCTTTTTTAACGAAAAAGAAGGTGTCAGATTGTATAGAAATGTTGTATAAAATATAGAAATCTTATTTCTGTTCTTCTTTTTCTCAAGATCAGATTTTCGACTTGGATAAATATCATATTTTTTCAGGTGTAAATTCATTCGAGAAGAATATCAACAGTAAAATGATCTTTTCTTGTTTCAAATAAATCACTAATACTGATATAGTCGAATCGAGGCGAAATATTTTCAAAGAGAAAATGCTATAATAGATTGTTACTAAATAAAATGATGAAGACGAGTCTTGGGGCTATGTTTTTAGCTGTACGTTAACAAGATATTCATGTCGAAACAGAAATGTAATTTTTAGTTTGTAGTCTTTGAAATACTAAAAATGGACATTCTCAAGATAAATCTGTTCGATGATGAAAAAGACATGTCTCTCATCGATAAATTATTTTCCATACGAATCTTTTTCGTTCCTTTCAAACCACTACTGTCACTCTCCACTCACCATCTCAGAGTGATTTTGAACAACGAATCCAGAAATATCCAAGTACATTGTCATGTCCATGTTCACAAACTTCGATTCGACATGATCGATTTCTTTCGTTTCATCCGCAATATCATCCCATATGTTNTACAACTAGCTTTCAACAATGTATGCTCCATTACTATCTATGACTTGTTGCCAACGCTCTGGCAGAGAAAGGATCCCTCCCTCGTAGAAGTCTTGAGACTTTTGGTCGAAGAAGTTGGTCAGGTCCGTTTTGAGATCGTTCTCGTCGTTGAATTTTTTCTCGCCCAAATAATTAGAAAGAGAACGAAACAAATGGTAATCTGTTGGGGCCAAGTCAGGAGAGTATGGTGGATGTGGAAGTGTAATCCATCCGAGCTTCAATAATTTTTCACGAGTCGACTTTGCAATGTGAGGTCTGGCGTTGTCATGCAAAAAATAAATTCTGTCTTGCTTCCCATGAAGTTTTGCTGCAACTCGATCTAATTGCTGACAGTATAGATCAGCAGTGACGGTGCAGCCAGCTGGAAGAATTTCCCAATGAATAATTCCTTTGACACCCCACCATACGCTCAACATGATCTTCTTTGAGTGAAGATTATTTTTGGGCGTTGCTACACCTGTTTCTCCAGCTCCTAGCCACTGTCGCTTGCGCGTGTGGTTAACATATAACACCCACTTCTCATCGCCAGTAATAAGATTGCGGAGCCATTGGTAGTTGCGGTGAGACGTCATTAATTCCATACAAGCATCGACTCTGTGTTGGAGCTGATGTGGTGACAGATCATGTGGTATCCAAACTCCATATTTCCACGTTTTGCCCAATTCGTGCAGATGTGTTTCCACTGTAGTATGAGAGCACCCAAGTCGCTCTGATAAACACCGCGTAGTCAACCTAGGATCTTCTTCGATAAGCTGCTTTAAATGGTCCATATTCACCTCTGATGGTCTTCCGGTATGAGGTAAATCGTCGAGTTCGAAGTTGCCATTCTTGAACCGATGGAACCAATGTTGCGCTGTGCGGATAGAGAGTGCATCCTTGCCCATCGTGCTACATATGTTGCGTGTTGCTTCCGTTGCTTTGCTACCCAAACGGAATTCATGAAGCAAAAGCACTCGGAGCTCCCTACGTGATATCTTCATTTCTAATTCGAGATCAACATCCATATCCATAGTTTTGTTGTCGTTCGAAAGACATTTGTACCCCTTTTATATACTCTTAATATGGAAACTTCTAGAACTTTCTCGGATGTTCAAGAAAATTTGAGAAAAAAACGCAAAAAATTTCTTGCCAACCTAATAAGTTTGAAGGAGCTTATATAAATCCAAATAACAGTCCCAATATCATTCTAATTGCGACAGATACAAATGAAAAAGCTATCAACACGTCGCATACAGATACAACCAACTCGACATCAGTCGATGCTCCAAATAATCTAGCCATTGCTTTTCTGCTTGAAATTTTATCAACCAAACGTCCTAATACCATGTTATTCCAAAAAGACATGCGTGGTGCTTCTGTAGCTGCAGGCGAAATCGAAACGGGCAAACTTCCTTTTTTCTATATCCAATATCTTTTGGTTCACGAGAAATACCGAGGTTCAGATGTTGGTCTGAATATAGTCTACTTCGTTCTTGACAGCGCTGCCAACTGCTTTCCACCGCAGTACGATAAACTTATTTGTGAAGTAGAGGCTAAACAATCAGCACTTGATTTTTGGAAAAAGGCAGGTTTCAAGGAACTTCCAGGTCGTCCGGATGACCCTGATGACGTTGTATTAGGCAAAACACCAAAAAGGATGAAATGTGTTAGCACTTCGATTGAAAATGCGCTTGTCTTGGAGTATGATTCAATCGAACCAGTACTCGGCGCTCTTGTAGAATGTTTTGGTCACCAACATATGAACGATTTGGAAAAGGGAGAAAAAGAAGGCGAATAAGCTGGAATGATTGACTAAGAAGAAGTATCAGCATGCAGAGTTTTCACTCATTTGATGATTTGCTACTTCTGAATTTGGATCTGAATTTTATGTTTTAAAGAAATGTCATTCAACAATAAAAGTTTCAGAGTGTATGTTTTCTTAATCAATATTATTTCGCATCTTGATGGTGTGGGTATATCTTCTTCGCCCACACCGACACTCACACCATTTAAGATTCAAAGAGTACTTTCAAGTGAACATTGTTTTGTAGTATTTCTGTGACAAGAAGTTGTTGAATAGTGCTATCGACGTGATTGTAAGATAGATTTAACATGGTGAGTGCCTGTAAAATACACCAAATATATATTCAAATATGTAAAAAAGTTAATGAAGAAACAGCCGATTTTATGATATTGAGATTCTGTTATCGCGAAATCAGCTGCTTCATCCTTGAGCAGAATGATGTGACTAATGTTACCTTATTTTGCTCTAAACTTCTGGCTAGGTATTGTGCTCCTTGTGAACTAACGCGATTAAAACTAAGATCGAGCGTGATGAGTGTCTGTGAAATCGAGTGTTTTGATAGTTGAATGAAAAACAAGATGATCCGAGTAATGTTACTTCGTTTTGTCGTAAAGCATCACCTAGGTATTGTGCTCCTTGAGCACCGATTCGATTGTTTTCTAAATTTAGTTTGGTCATTGTCTGTGCATAATTACCAGTAGATGATACAAGAAGGAGGAGGAGAAGAGGAGTGTCGTTCATATTACTTTGTTTATTTGCAAAGCAGCAGCCAGATACTGTACGCCTTGATCACCAATCTGATTGTTTTCAAGGTTGAGCGTAGTTAGCGTCTATGGAAAATGAGTTGTGAATAATTAGATATACAGATGAACAACGTGCATTATAGTACTTTATTTTGTTGTAAAGTATTTACTAGATGTTGCACTCCTTGATGTGCTATTTGATTAAAATCAAGATTGAGGGTGGTGAGAGTCTATAAACCAAACGAAGAAATTTTTGAAAAAGTCGATGAACTGCGTAGATTATGTTACTTTGTTTATCCGTAAAGAACAAGCTAAGTGCTCTACTCCCTGATCACCGATTTCATTATGTTTAAGGATTAGTGTAGTCAGTGTCTGTTAAAAGTAGTGAATGTATGGTTCTATAAAATAATAGCGATGTGGATGATATGACCTTGTTTCGTTCTAGAGCATTGGCTAGATATTCTGCGCCTTGACTAGTGATTTTATTATGTGTGAAATTTATTGTAGTAAGTGTCTGTCGAAGAACAGTAAGTGTATATAGTTGGAAGACAGTATGAGTTATATTACCTCGTTTTGTTTTAATGCATTCGTTAAATAATGTACGCCTTCATCACCGATTTCATTTATTTCAAGATTTAGTTTAGTGAGTGTCTTCAAAACAAAAGTGAATAAATGCTTCAATAAGACGATGAATGATACCACTATAGTGTTACTTTGTTTATTTGCAGTGTATTGGATAGATACTGCGCACCTTGTGCACAAATTTCATTGCAACCAAGATTGAGAGCGGTGAGTGTCTGTGAAATCGAATGTATTACTAGTTGAATGAAGGACAAGATGATCTAAGTAATGTTACTTCATTTTGTTGCAAAGCATCACCCAGATATTGTGCTCCTTGGGCTCGTATTCGATTTAGTCGAAGATTTATTTCGGTCAGTGTCTATGCATAATTACCAGTAGATGATACAAGAAAGTGAACAGAAGTGTCAATTATATTACTTTGTTTATTTGCAATGCATCAGCTAGATACTGTGCTCCTCGATCACCAGTTTGATTGTTTTCAAGACCAAGCGTAGTTAAAGTCTACAAAAGGTAAGTGCTGAATGATTAGGTATACAGATGAGCAGTGTGCACAATTGTACTTTATTTTGTTGTAAAGCATTCGCTAGATGTTGTATTCCTTCGTACCCAATTTGATTGAAATCAAGATTAAGCGTGGTAAGTGTCTATAAAATAAATGAAAGACTATTTGAATACATAGATGGCCGCTATTTATTATATTACTTTGTTCATCCGTAATGCATTGCCTAAGTACTGTGCTCCTTGATTGGCGATTCCATTGGAATCGAGATTTAGAATGGTTAGCGTCTGAAAATAAAAGTAAGTGAATAGCTGACTATGCAGAAAGACAATATGTTACGTTGTTTTTTTGTAAGGCATCTGCTAAATATTTGATAGCATCGTCGTATATTTTATTATGTTTAAGGTTTAGTATAGTAAGGGTCTGCGTAAAGAAAGTGAATAAATCGTGGCAAAAGAAAGTGAGGAATATTGATAGTGTTACTTTATTCTGTTGCAATGCATGCGCTAGATAGATTGTTCCTTCTAAACCGATTTTATTAGAAGTGAGATCTAATGTAGTGAGTGTCTCCAAAAAATAAAATGGATGCATAATATTACTGACATAAATGTAATACTTGAAAATTAAGTTCAAATTTCGTATTATACATTACTGGTTTATCGTTAACGAAAATGACTTTTTAATAAAACCTAAGATTACTTGATATCGGTGGTATGTGTCTATGATGGCATCGAGTCTTGTGCACACTAGATGACATGAACAAATAATCGTTAATTCATCGAGATGATCAAGAATGCGATAAATCAGTTCCACCGGTAATGTATGAAGTGACAGAGCCATTTTGTTAGATATTTATAAATTTGCTTTTAAGTATCATATGTCACGATGGTGTAATATCACATTCTTATCTTTGATTTTATGTCGAGCAGTGAATGTTTGCATACTAATGGTTCTCTCTTCTTCAAACACTTCTTATCAATCCATGGACATTTTAGTTTCTTTTATGACATAGAATAAAAGTAGTATGAGAGAAATAAAAATGTAGAAATGATATTAGAAGATCTAGTTAACATAATTAAAAGATAGAAAACTAACGAAAAACAAATTAAACGGCGATAATCGATATTTGTCAATTGCAGTCGTACGCATACGCAAATACAATATTTGAATTAACAAACAAATTCACCTCTCTCTCTCAAGATATTTTTCTCGTTGTTTAGAAAAACATTTTTTGTCATAAAGATTTCATCAACAAATGCTACTATTAAATTCGAGTATGATCATGTTTTATATTTATTCTATTCTACAAGTAACGCGGCTTAGTAGCCGCTAAACCTTCTACTGAAAGGATAGTATTAGAGCGCTAACATTCGTCGAAAGAGAGAAAAAAGTTATTTCAGTTGAACGGTCTAATCATTTGATAATTTGTCAGAATGTTTCATCTAGACCAATTTCGCTTCCTAAAATCTTCTGAAACTAACGCCTAGTCATTTGTCAACCTCTCTCCGATCAACCACGCACGGCTAGCCTTTGGTACCTAATCAGTGTTTAATGATATTTTCATACTAAAAAGTACCTCGTTCTTACTGAGCCCGTCTCTAGCGAAGTTACCGCAATTCTTCGTAACTTCGTGACCTACAGAATATCTTTTATTATCATTTTTAGTTGAATAAGTTGGTGATCTACATAGTTTTTTCTCGAAGCTCGAAAAGACATCCTATACGTATACCTTCGAATATTTACATAGCCATATAATTCTCTGGAAAAGGTTTCAATCTTCTCTCCCACCACGAGGAACCTTAAATAGCTGCTAGCTATGTTCGTGCAGAGCAATGATTAATTCCTGACCAAGAAATCTTAAAGCTCTATAAAAATCACAAAGTTTGTTCTGAAAAATATTATTCTGGAAATCGACGACTAGTCGCTCGTCGGCCTTCCTCCGGTCGACCACTCGCAGCTAGCCGTTACATGTAGATGTTCACTCTTCCATTTAGTCTAGAGTCACTTTTGAAACTAATCCATTCATTCTCTTATATTCTCTCTTTAAAAGTCACCCTCTTTGTGTTACTGTGACTCTCGAAGACAACACTTGACAAGCGAAACATTATTTTGAATGGCTGGCATCAGATGATATTCATATAGTATAGCTGTTTATAAAAGTGTGTGATCTCATTAGTATGCTGATTACTATGGAGATCCAGCGATCGGACGTCAGTCAGCTATTACATTTTGTTCTACATATTGCCGCTTAAAACATTATCGTCTCAAAAAATTGATCCTTTGTCGCAAAAAACGGGCCAGAAAGTGTTCATGAAAAAACTTACACCGTATTCGAGAACCTCGACCTGGATTACCCTTCGGTCAACCCTTACTACTTTCAAGCAGTGTTGGGTAATATTTTAAGACAAAATGAACGAACGAACGAACACACATCAACTTGTTTTTTCAGTGATATCAGCTCGACGCATTACCCTCCTTTCAGTAGAGGGAACAAATCATTGATGAAATAAAATCTACCAATTATAGTATTGTCCTTAAGACGTCTCTCTATTTCAGGCGATATTTTAATTTTCAAAATGTGTTTAACTCGTATATGAATTGAGTATTGTATAAAAAAATTAGCTTTTTCAAAAATTTCCGGTGGATAGGCGCCGCCTACCTTGGTTACGCCTCTATAAATTTGCTAGATGAATTCAATTCACTATTTGCATACACAGAAAATACCTGTCTACCGTAGTCAAGGATAAAGTGCGTCGGCACGACGAGCGTTACTGGTAGGGATTCGAAAATAAAATATTTCAAAAAAAAAAATTGCACCTGACAAAATTCTATTGTTCTTTCTTTGAAGTCATGCTTCATCTGGTCACTTTTTTCTTCCAGAGATGGCTTTTTTCTCGATTCCATTCGTATGAAAAGCTTTTGTATTTGTCTTAGAATACACTTCATTTCGGATTGTTTGCATAACTGAAAATGAAAAAAAAACAACACGTTCGAATGTTGTGCTTCTTCAATTATTAGAATAAACTTTTTTAGTTTCTACATTCGATACAAAATCGACTCGAGTATTTCGATCTGGATGAACTTTTAAATGGCGATAGTTATTACGCTATTAACAACTTTCGTCTTAAAAACAGTTCTGGGCACAGTGGTATACAACTCGACGTATCATTTCGACGCGAGTGCTACAGCGTCAAATCCACTAAAAGGTTTTGTTCCTTATTATTTATGGGTACAAAATCAACCAAATGTCAACGACTTGCCTTATTCAATGGAAAATTACTACATTCCAATGAAGAATATAATGACTGGTACAACGTCATTTGATTTCTCTTCGATCGATACTGTTTTAACAAATATTGCCAAAAGAAATCATCATGCCATTCTTCGAGTTTATATCGATTTTCCCGGATATAATCTTAGAGATTCTTTACCTGATTTTCTTTGGAATGGTCTTACGTAATGATTCACTACTTTTGTCTATATATCGAGTCTACAATTTCATTTGTTTATTTTAGTATCTATGCGGGAAACGCAGATCAGGGTTTTTTCCCTGATTACAATAATCAAACATTGATCGATTGTATTGTTAATCTTATCCATGCCTTGGGTAAACAATATGATGGAGATAAAAGAATTGGATTTTGGCAAATAGGTTTTCTTGGTCATTGGGGCGAATGGCATACGTGGCCTAATGGAACCTATTTTGCATCGACCTACCATCAAGATCAAGTTCTTTCTGCTTTTAACTCATCATTTATGACAACAAAACTTCAAATTCGCTATTTTCATGTGACTGGAAGTCACAGTGCTACAAGTTGGAATGTAGGCTTTCATGACGATTCATTTGCTCAAGATACTTACGGCGAAGATTGGATGTTCTATAATCAAAGTGTGCAAGTAGGAGCAGATCAACGATGGAGAAGTCAAGTAAGTTTTGCTGTACTGGACAAAAGAAAATCATCAAAATTTTGTTTTTGTAGCCGATAGGAGGTGAAATTCGGCCTGAATTAATGCCTTGCTTATTCGCAAGCGACGCCGTTACCGCCTGTCGGGCAATAACTGATTTAATCCCATTGAACTGGACTACCTGTGTGGAATTGACTCACTCTACGTTCCAATGGCATGCATATCCTTTCATGAATCCAATGAATAAATCAGATTTGGCGAGAACAATCAATGCATCAATAATGCTGGGATATTCCTTTTTTGTTTCTCAAATTCTTGTCAATGAAATCAATTGCTCCGTATGGTAAGTACTATTTATATCTTTATTCACAAGAGATAACCTACTTTTTCATCGAAATTCATTTGGTTAGTTCACATTTTATAAGAATCAGTGTGACAATGTCCAATATTGGAGTGGCACCCTTTTACTATCCGCTAACTCTGAATGCAAAAGCAGTGAATAGTATAACGCAGTCTCTAATCTTAACGAAATCAATAACTGTTCCACTTGCTAATCAACTCGATCAAAACTCTTATATTTATGACTTCGATATGAAAATAGAAGCAAATACAAACGTACAATTTTCAATCTGGCTTGACAGTTCTTATCTTGTTGGTAATCAGAAAATCGTATTTGCTATTTCAAACGCTAGTTCATCCGGTATTATTCAACTACCAGTTATGTTCATACGATCTTGTAACAG